TGTCACCCTGCTCTTCTATTAACCGCCATGATACAGTAATAGGCTCCGCCAAAACGTCGCCTCTCCGTGGGAAGAAAAACCTTAACGTCGTCATGCAAATAGTGTGGCTTCAACTGGCACCTGTGTTCGCATGGGCTGGGGAAATAAAATTTCAGGTAGTTCGGAATTTCAATTTAATGATCACATCTGAAGTTGGTAATATAAATAAATTAAATAAGCTCAGAGTGATATGTTTATGACACGTTTATTAGAACCGGTGGATTTTATCGCATGGTAATGTGGAAGATTTAGCAACATACTAACCCACACCACTGTGTGCATATTTCCGCCCGTGAGTGATTGACTAAACTGCTACAACAGTAATTAAAGCTCGTGTTTGGCAATCCATGTTGCCACCGTCGATACCGAGAGCGCTGTGGCATCCAATTGTGCCTTGGAGGCGAGCTACGTGCCGCAGTGTTCGTGTTCCACAGCACGATGATATTTAGTGAAGGCATGAGACACAATTAGTATAATTAACGTTGTTACCAACAAGTATTATAGTTGTATATTATTAATATATATATATGTGGTCGAATGTATATGATATATTATATATATCATATACGTAGTGTCGTCGTGTAATATATCATATATATATATGTCAGTGTTGGTGATTATATATATATATATATATATATATATATATATATTATATATATATCTAACATTATTATAATATTTATATATATATATATGTATATATATATAATATATATATATATATATATATATACAGTATATATATGTGTGGTGCCTGTTGATCAGAGAAATTAATAAAACCATCGTTCCGCCGGTAATATAGGTAATGATGCGGTATATTTACTGGATTGCATAGATGATACGGTATTAGAAGCATGGGGCGCAGTTTACCCCCAAATATGTCAGCTGTAGTATGGTAGGAGGGAAGGTGTGTATCGCCAAATAACATCATCAAATCGGCCTGACGATTCCTTGCATCCCCGAGAGCTAATTATCGATATTAGTTATATGTAGAGACGTAACACCCGTTTGCCAATCGCACGACAAAACGGTTGTTCGTCGCTGACCGCATATGAAGGTCGAAATCGAAACACGCGAAAGCTAATAAAGTGTGCCCAGGAGTTCTTTTCCCATCAATTCATTTTTAATCGCACTTATTGCATCGTTTGCTAGTTTGTTTCCGTTCGGTCACGTTTCTTCTGCATCTGACGGCTGTTTTGCGTGTAGCTGCACTTACTGTGCATGAACCGTGCATGGCGACATTGCTTTACTCTGCTTGTCGTGCGAGCCTTCGGGGCGGGCATCACAACGCCTCGATTAACCCTTTACGTAAATTAACGCCACGATGAGTACGCGCTGCGCGGGCACTGCCTTAATATTTCAAAAGCTCCTTACTAAAGTTTGCTTTCGCGTGACCCGAAACTTGCGTACGGCACGAAAGGGCGCATTTCGTTTTTGTTGATCGTGACTCATTGAAGTTTTCTGGGGGCTCGAACTTGTGGCAAAGCGATGACAAGTCCAGAAGGAGTTTCCATTGCCTGTTTGCATATTCATGCTTCTGTTTGATATCTTTTCGGCGCGTAAACCTCTTCTGTATTATCGTTGCACGCGGTCTGACGCTAGTAGATTTCATGCGACGAAATCTAGTGGTGGGAGGAGGGTAAATACTACCCGCGAGTATTTCACGCGGGCCCCCCCCCCCCCGGCCGCCCCCGGCCATCTGACACCCGTGTTCCCATACGATCACCCGCCTATTTCCACACTCACAGTTATATAGCGCCGTCAACACCCTCCGCCCCGGTCTCTCGTAGTGGGTCCCGACGGACGGGCGTGTTCGTAAGCTTTCCCGTGGCCGAAATAACCCCGTTTTCTCTCTCTCTCTCTCCCTCTTTTCTCTCTTGGCCTCCTCTCTCTCTTCTCCTCTCTCTCTCTCTCTCTCTCTCTCTCTCTCGTCTCTCTCTCTCCCTCTCTCTCGCTCTCTCTCTCTCTCTCTTCTCTCTTCCTCTCTCTCTCTCTCTCTCTCCTTCCTCTCTTTCTCTCTCTCTCTCATCTCGCTTCTCTCTCTCTTCTCCCTTCTTCCTTCTCTCTCTCTCTGCTCTCTCTCTCTTCGTCTCTCTCTCTCTCTTTCTCTCTCTCCTTCGTCTCTCTTCTCGTCTCTCTCTCGTCTCCTCTCTCCTCTCTCTCTCTTGCTCTCTCTTCTCTTGGGGTCTTGGTTCCCCGCTCTCTCTCTCTCTCTTCTCTCTCCACTCCTCTCTCTCTCTCTCCTCTCTCTCGCTCTCTCTTTCTCTCTTCTTCTCTCTCTCTCTCTCTCTTCTCTTCCTCTCGCCACTCTCTCTCCTTTCTCGTCTCTCTGTTTCTCTCTCTCTCTCTCTCTCTCTCTCTCGCTTTCTCTTATCTCGCAGCAATATAACCCGCGTTTTTTTTCTCTCTCTCTCTCTCATCTCGCAGCAATATAACCCGCGTTTTCTCTCTCCTCTCTTCTCCGCGCAGGGCGACGCCGCCGCTTCCGTCGACGCCAGCGCAGCAGCCGCCGCAGTACAACACGATCACGCTCGATCGGGGCCCCGAGGGCCTCGGCTTCAGCATAGTCGGCGGGCACGGCTCGCCGCACGGAGATCTGCCGATCTTCGTGAAGACGGTGTTCGCGAAGGGCGCCGCGGCAGACGACGGCCGCCTCAAGCGCGGCGACCAGATCGTCGCCGTCAACGGAGAGACGCTAGAGGGCGCCACGCACGAGAAGGCGGTGACCATACTGAAGAACTGCAAGGGCACCGTCGGTCTGACCATCGTCTCGTAACGTGTGACGTCACCGCGCGCGAGGGGTGGCGGGAGGGGGGTGAGGTGCGAGCACCCGCTCACCGTTGACCGACCTCCGCTTACGAGTACTATTCGATTTTTCGAGCTGCCTTCCACTTTATCATTACCTAACGTGATTTCGTCTAATTTCTCGATTAATTATGCACTAAGTATTTCGTCGCGCTAATTTTTACGCGTTCGGGATTGGAACTCGATTAACATTCAAAGTAGCGGACCCCGTAGCTCAAACCCGTGCAATGTAACCAAGAGTGGGAAGGAAAAAGGTTTCCACCACTCCCCACTAAGATAATGAACGCAATTTGATAAGCGTTGTGTTCGAATTTCGTACGAAACCCCGCGCAGCTTTTCTCATTATTACCCGAAGCATCGTTGCCTGCTCTCGTCTGTCTGACTCATTAATCGTAGCGCACATCGTAAACGTGGCGCGTTATTTCTTGTTGCCCATTAGAGGAAAATTAAATGAAGACCGCGACCGTAAAGAAAGCTTAGAAAACGCGCAGCTATGTTTACTAGTGACGACAACATATACGATGCAGCAAGGCAACAGTCACCCCATACACCGCAGCTCAGTTGTTATAAGGCGGGGAAGTGCATATAAGTCATCTATCTATCAGGTCAGCACCTCGTCAGGGTTACACAACGGCAGTTACACCTGAACTATAGCATATATGATAATGCCCGCGATAATGTATTAACGTCTATAGGGGTCACTCCGACACTGCTGTGTTTCGAATGAACCCTCACAGCCGATCGTGTTCACAAATGACTACGAAAAACCTTATTCTGCCGTTGACGAAAGAGACTCGCAGTTGTCGTGCAATTTTTTAGTTGTAGCGAAAACCGATTCGTGTTTAACGCGTGATTGCAGTTGAAGCGACACAGCGTAATATGGATGGTACAGGGCGCGCGTGTGTGCGTCAGGGGCGGAGCTGACCCGCTCGTGCACTGCTGCACGGTCACACCAGCTCCCACGAATGTGATGTGAACATGTGTCACATATTACTGTTCGTTTATACATATCGATTTATAACCGCTTTACCCGTGGATGGATTTTATACTGCATGTCTCGTCGTTGTCGCTGCTTCCATCTGTATATGAAATGGCTAGTTGAGCTGCGTTATCCGCAATCAAACGTGTGTCGTTACTGTCGTACGTGTTTGACAGTGCGCGGCTGCTGCTGGGAGAGTGAATGAGTGGCCACGTATGTTCCCAGCTCGAGCAATCTTCATAAACCCAATGATACCGGCAACTACTGTATAACCAACTTCTCTCTCTCTCTCTATCTCTCCACGAGTTTCCACGCTTCGTGTAGCGGACATCTGTGGACATGCTTGCGATCCGTATTCCGCCGATCTCATGGCACTTGTCGCTTAATTTTCTCTTGCTTTTTGACACTTGTTGTGGACCTCGTTCGTTTCATTTTAATTTTCATGATCGATGTTGAAGCTCCAATTCCATTTGATCTTCGCAACATATGATGGCTCCGCTCTCCTACGCCAATTTTACTTTCGTGGTGTAAGTTTTTTATTTTCAGATCGCTCTCCCACGCTTTGGTCACACTCGATGTCGTAAAGCTCTACCATAGTAACAGATTTATCACAGACCTGTCCTGTCTTTACTCATGTAGAAATGCTAAAGCAATCAAAGTGCACCTCGCATCAAGCGATTTACCTACAAATTCATATAATTGCCCGCTAATACATCAGCTGGCTCTATTCAGATTTCGATAGCTGCAGGTGAAACGCGTTAGACAGTGTCGTGTAATCGCTGGCAAGTGTCTTGGACGTGTTTATATCAGATCATGACAGATGCGAACATGAGCGGTTTACGTGAAGAACAATTGCTATTTTATTAGAGCATATCTTCAGTCGCGGGCAGTCGATCCATCAACTAACTACAAAATATAAAAGTGACTATAAAGGTGATACAAACTAACTATAAACGTGATCGGGGCTTGAGGTTAGCGGATCTTGCGCAATGTTCGGTTTATCGCGTCGAGCAAAAATCCCATTGGTTTTTTGTACTCTGGTGACTTGGTAGAAATCAAAACTGATTTTATGGAAATGACTGAGGTACTAGTGAAGAATACTATTATACATTAACCCCCTACTCCCTAATAACTATACAGTAATCACATCCTTAGCTCCCGTCATCATTGTTCACGTTTTCTAAATGTCTTCTAGTAAGGCACGAAGGGTCGTTGTCGTATCAGATACTACATATATGTACCCGAAGTACGTATATGTATACCAGACCTGTATCTTCTCAGCATATATGTACCCTGTGTTTAGGGTTAGGGTTAGGGTTAGGGTACACTTCTGTATACATCATATACACTTATGTACCTCGGGTACATATATACGACAACGACCCCTTCAGCTGTAGTAAGCTGTTTAGCGATTTACGCGCCACCTTTAGGCGCATAAGTAAAAAATTAGTTACGTTGGTTAGTTGGCCGGTACGCGGTAAGCATTATAGGAAGCGGCTGCCAGGAATAAACCGCGAAAATTCGTGCAGAGAAACATTTACGGGGAATTTTCTTGGAGAATGTGTGTAGCTAAAAGGGGGAAAAGAGTAAGTGCATAGCTAAGGGCTCGGGGGTTGCGCAGCATAAAATATAAATGTGATGTCCTGGGGTAGGGCATCGCATCATGAACGTCGTATCACAATGCTGGGATTATGTGCGACACAATGCTTATATATCATACGCTGCAAGTTGAAAACAGTGCATACACACATGATATACATGTATATCAAGAGCTAATAAATACCTGCGGTATTATTAGATAAATATATAGATAATTCCCATATTTCCTGCTCTTTCAGCGAGCGTATTAAAAATAGGCCTACATTCTTTTTCATTTTTTTGGGGTCAGGACTAATCATGGGGTTATAATAATTGTAGAGTAACCCCAGTTATTGTGGAACATATGGTGGTAACCTTCTCAGGTTGAGTTGCCAACATTTGAGTCGTTACGGGTTTTAATATTTCTATATGTATCGCAAGCAAAACTGTATTACGAATATTTCGTGTATGACTGTGACAACATTCACTACATGTATCTATATGGACACACACACACACACACACACACACACACACACCCTAGAGGCTATATCTCATCTGTTTAACAATATCGTAGCTTGACACGTTTAATATGCGAGAGGTTTTGAACGCATATACATAGTATATATATATATATATAATTATGATAGCGCGCCACGCAATACTGAGCCGTTTCTTTCCCTTTATTGTTTTGCGAGCAGTAAGGGTAAGGCAAAGAAGAAGTGATGATGCTGAAGGTAAGAAGATTACGAGCATGCACCAGTATTATAGTGAAGGCAGCGAGTGTGCCGGTATTGCAGCATGTTGCAAGCGAATGCAGTCTGCAGTTTAGCACTCCACGCTTTCACATGTACACGACACCACTGACCACCGCCGCCGATGCTGCTTGCCTTGCGCATATATAACAGCTACAGAGATCCGTGTTTTTCTTCTCCATGCGTAGATCGATTTATTTCGGCAGTTTTTTTAACTTTTTTCTCGTCCGTGTGTGTTTTTTCATGGTTTGGATTGTGAATTTGCGTTTGGAGTTGCAGTGACTAGAAATAATATTTTAAAAAGTGTGTGAACTAATGCCGTTTCTTCTGTCGGTGTAGTGTAGTAGTCGGTAGCGATTTCACGTGCGACAGATTACGTTACATGCAAATCCCCAGCTAATGCCAACGAACCACATTGGTTTGGTGTCCACGAAATTAAAGCGTGTCTATCGACCTCCATGCTTTCTATTGAAGTCAGCTATTTGAAAAGTCTTGGGCCATTATTTCTTCTCTTAACTTCTTTTAAAATCTCTTTTTCTTAAAATCAATATAAGAAAACATAAAAAGTGTATTCAAACAGCAAGCTAGAAGTTGTAATAGAACACTGGGCTTGCCTACACCTCGGAAAGTGATAGGGTTAGGGTTAGGAATGTTTCAAATCGCCATTCACACCCTCTAATATAGCTGCTAAACAGCGTGCAGTTGTCGAAACCTGGCACATTGCCAACAATAATAATATTGAAGTTTTATTCCTCGCAGTATCAGTATTTATTATGTACGTGCGCTCCGCAGCAATCTAATATCATTTCCTTTTGAGATGTAACTCGATTGTCATATGTCACATCTAGTTAAATTATCAGCTAAGCTGTTCTAATCCAATAGTCGGACAAAGATTCCCCCCGTAATTGCAAACCGCACTCAAATTATAGGGCTGTTCTAGTTTGCAGTCATTCATATTCATCATCTTGTCTCTTCAATAAGTGAGATCGGAAAGTCCAGCTGTGCTAATTAGGTCACAGAAAAAGGGGGTATGAAATGGCCGAGGCGCGCTTAGGAAAGTACATGATTAATGTAAACACTCGTGCGTTTTTAGTTTTTGCATTAACGCAAACGTTGCAAAATATCCCAAATGACCACAATCATATTTGTAAATGTTTATGTAAACGGAAACGCACCTGTGAATTGAAGTACGATGTTAGTGAAGAGAATTATAAGATCAAAAACCTAGAATAGTCCTATCCTACCCATGTTATACCCCCTCAACTTATACCCCCTTTTATCTGATCCCAATATGGCGACCGGAACTTTCCGATATGGCTTATTATATAATTCCTCTGCTGTGCCCTGCTCTTCTATTAACATGATACAATAAGCAGACGGCTTGAAAACCTTACGTGCAAATACGTGTGGCTCAATGGACCTGTGTCGCAAGGGAAAATAAATTCGGTAGTTCGAATTTCAATTAATGTCAAATCTGAAGTTGCTAATATAAATATATTAATAAGCCCAGATTGTATGTTATGACACGTTTATTAGAACGTGATTATCGCATGGGTCATGTGAAGATTAGCAACATACTAACCACACCACTGTGTGCATATTTCCGCCCGTGAGTTGATTGACTAGCTGCTACAACAGTATAAGCTCGTGTTGCAATGCAGTTGCCACGTCGATAGTGTGGCATCATTGGAGGTACGTCGTCTGCCACACACAGATTCGCATATTATGAAGCATGAGACACAATTAGTATAATTAACGTTGTTACAACAATATTATATGTATATATATATATATATTATGTGTATATATATATATATATATATATATACGTGTGTGTGTGTATAATATATATATATATATGTGTGTTTGTGTATATATATATATTATATATATATATATATTATATCTACATTGTATAATATATTATATATATTATATGTATAATATATATATATATATACATTATAATATATGTGTGTGTGTATCAGACAATTAATAAACATCGTCGGTGTAAAATAGTTAATGATAGCGTATATTTATCTGATTCATAGAGATGGTAAGAAATGGGTGCATTTTAACCCCAAAATGTCAGCTGTGTATGGTAGGGAAGTGTATCGCCAATGTACATCATCAATTCGGACTCTGACGATTCCTTGCATCCCGCGAGCATATATAATGTATTATATGAGAGACTAACACCGTTTGCAATCGCACGACAACGTTGTTTCGTCGATGACCGCTATAAGGGTCGAAACGAACGCGAAAGCAAAAAACCAGAGTTCTTTTCATCAATTCATGTTTTAGCTTATGATCCGTTTGCATAGTTTGTTCGGTTTTCGTCACGTTCTTTGCATCTGACGTGTGTTCGTGATAGCTGCATTACTGTGACATGAACGTGCTGTCGAATGTTGTCTTGTGCTCGTGGGGTGGGGGGCATAAGGCCTACGATCTACCTACGTAAAATTAAACGCACGATGAGTACGCTCGCTTAATATTTCAAAAGCTCTTCTAAAGTTCTTCTTGGTGCGAACTTGCGATACGCACGAAATGCGCCATTCGTTTTGGTGACTCCTTGAATTCTTCATCAAAGCGATGACAAGATCAGAGTTTCATGGGCTGTTGCATATTCTCTTCTGTTTGATTCTTTCGGCGCGTAACCTTTCTTGTATTACGTTCACGCGTCTATCGCTAGCTATGCACGATTAATCTAGTTGGTGGGAGGAGGTAACACTAGCGATATTCACGCGCTCGCCATCTGACATCCCGTGTTCCATAGATACCCGCTATTTCACACCGCAGTATAAACATCAAACCTCCGGGGCCCCGATCTCTCGTGAGTGGTCCCGAGGAGCGTTTCGTATAGTTCGGAGCGAAATTATACCCGCGTTTTCTCGTTCTCTTTTCTGCGTCTCTTTCTAACTTCTCTCGTCTCTCTCTCTTCCT